AGCTTAATAAGTAACTGATTTGTTATTTCTAAATTATTGTTTAAAGACATGCCATGGCCTAAGAAGGACTAACACATAACATATTAGCATATAATATTTATTGGGGTATTTGCAGTATGCTAAGGCCTGTGCTATATGCTCTTTACATGGACTGGCTGGCTTAACACCCCTACGTTAGAGGTTTTTGTCACTCTTTACACTGAAGAGGTGGAGGCCCAGAGGGAAGGGGAGACTTGACCAAAGCTGCACAATGAGCAAGTGGCAGAGTTAGGACTCAGATTCAGAAATTTTTACTCTAGCATGGCCTGTGCGTTTACACTGCTCTACACTATTGACAATAGTTGACAAGATTAAGATAAATGACACTTTTGAGGAGCACGAAAGGAATCCTAAGTGGAGCAGCAGAGGCTAAAGGGGACAAGATGAAGAATGAAAAGAATATGGGGAGAAGAATAGCATCGATAAAACCATGCAGTGTGCTGGCGTCCACTCAGGAAGCACCTGGGGCTATAGAGGATTAAGTCCTATCCCCAGGCTGCAGGAGCTGTAGAGGATGGAGCAGGCTATTTGCATGCCCTTCCCCACCTTCCCCATCAGTAATGTTCAGGGCGAACATTACTGATGCCGCTCAAAGGAAGAGGAGATACTGTATTGAGAATCCAGGATGATGCTTGATGGGTGCATACCTAAAACTTGAAAATACAATGGGAGGAGTGGTGAAAAGGAGTTGGTTAGTCACCTTGTATTTTATGAAGAGTAAATATGAATATTCCAAATCACTCTACTGAATTGCCCACTCAGTATTATACTGCAGTGTCCATCATTAAAAGTGTTGCAATGCACATGCTAGACTTAGGACTGTTGAGGTTCATTCATCATGCTGCAAGGGATGGCCTATTAGGGGACAAAATGACAGCTCTCACCAGCTGTGACACTGCACCCAGAGGTTTATAATAATAGGCAAGTGGCATTGACTCAGCAGCTTGCCCTCCGAGTGAAGCTAGTTCCACACAGTTTACTCAGATGGGTGGAGGGACCTTTAGACAATGTCTGGAAAAAATCTGCCTATCTTCCCTGGAGAATGAAGATTCTCAGAACCTTTACAAATGTAGGATTTCCCCGTTTTCTAGAAGTGTGAGATATGAGAGAACCAAAGAATTCTCCAACACAGTCTTAGAATCGGCATCCTATTCCAGCTGGCTTCCCTCCTTTATCATCAGCCTCACACAAGGCAGTCTCGCCTTCCACAGAACTACAGCAGTCCCCTTTGATCCTCGGTTCCACGGTCTGTGCAATCAGTTACCTGTGGTGAACCTAGATCCAAAAATACTAATGGAAAATTCCAGGAAAAAAAATGCACAAATTTTACATTGTGCACTGATCTGAACAGCATGCAAAAATCTTGCGTTGCCCTGCTCTGTCCCACCTGGGATGTGAACCATCCCTCCATCCAGCACATTCACACTGTATATGAGAATCTTCCCTGCCTGTTAGCTGCTCAGTAGACACCCCAGTTATCACGGGTCACACTAATGCATGCTCATGTTCAAGTGACCCTTATTCCACTTAATAATATCCCAAAGCACAACAGTAGCAATGCTGAAAATCTGAATATGCCAAAGAGAAGCTGGAAAGTGCCTCCTTTCAGTGAACAGGTGCGTACGGTACAATAAAATATTGAGAGGGAGAGAGAGCGAATGTGAGAGCAATAGTCACATAAATTTCAGTTCATTGTTAATTATTTTGTTAATCTCCTACTATGACTAACTTATAAATTAATCTTTATCCCAGCTATGTATGTAAAAGGAAAGCATAGTATATAGAAGGCTGGGTACTACCTGCAGTTCAGACATCCACTGGGGGTCCTGGAATGTATCTGCAGACAGTAGGAGGGCTACTTGACTTCTTTACTCAATTGTTTAATGCCCTGTGTTTCAGTTGTCTGTAGCAGTGTCTTTCTTCACCTTTCTCATCATTTCTTCACCTTAACACTTATACTTTTATCTTTTATTTATAACACTACTCTTTTACTTAAAAAAATAGTTCACTTTTATAGCTTTATTAATTTATGACAAACAAAAAATCCATCTTTATAAAATTATATCTCTAAAAAGTTATCAGCTAAATTTGTATCAATTTGAAGAAGTCTTTATTCTCATTATAATCTCAAAATCAACACAACACACATCTATCGACTACACACAGTGTGTCAGACATCATCCTAAGCACCAGCAAAAAGAAGTCCTGTCCCTGCTGTGGAGAAGAGAAGGCAACAGACAACTATAAACAGGTGTTAAGTGTTATAACCACAATATGGCAAATGTTCTGGAAACAAATTCTTTTTGTGAACTCAGAGAGGTAGCTTGGAATAGGGACTTAGAGCCTTTTATGTCTAAGGCCGTAGGGTGACAGTATCTGGTTTTCAGAGTTGATCTTCTAAATGAGTGTACATCTTGAATTCTGGGGAGATGTTTAAAAGGTAAGTGCTATATAGTTAAAACTATAAGGTTACAACTATAAGAGTTTGAGAAACTAGAGAAGTGAGATTAATATGAACATAAGCTAATTTTAGTCATGATCCAGGGTCTTCACACACCAATTTCTCTTTCATTTCTTCCTCTGGAAGCCCATCCAGGATTTCATCAGCACATTCTTTACTCTCACCTCAGACATTATCAGTATCTCTGATCCTCCTCCCACTCTTCCTGACTTTTAAATGGCATCGCTTCCATATATGTCTTAACCATTCTAGTTATGACAACCATGCAGCCCTCCCCGTTGCAGCCGCCTCTGCCTTTTGATCACTGCTTCCTTCTTTGATCCCCACTGCTAATCGTGTTTATTTCCCCACACAAAATGCATGGTGTGGTCATTTTAGTTATATTTCATTATTATTTTCTGGTTATATAAAAATTTTTTAATTGATTTGAGAGAGGGGAACATCAATTTGTTGTTGCACTTATTTATGCCTTCACTGGTTGGCTCTCGTACGTGGCCTCAGCAGAAACTGAACCCACAGCCTTGGCGAATCTGGATGACGCTCTAACCAACTAACCTACCTGGTCAGGGCCTAAAATTTCTATTTTTTAAGATTGATGCAGGCCTTCTTTATAATTTCACTGTAATTTACCAATATATACATATTTTATCCTCAAATTTTCTGGATGATTACTAAGGAAATAAAAATGTAGCAGTCTAATTACTTCTTATAAATTCTCAATTTTCTTCCCTGAAATTTCCCATTACATCACACAAATATTTCTTCAGGATGACTGCAGAGCTATATACAGAGCTGTTTTCCAGAATTCAGCATACACTTGAATCTAGTCAGAGGCATCAGAGCTGGGATACAAGGAAAGGAACAACACCTGTTGCAACTATCCACACTCAAATGTTCCCTGGCCAGGATTCAGAGGGTGTGTGGCCAAGGCACCACCTAAAACACCCTGCTCATGGGACTGGCGCCCTCTGGTGGCAACAGGATACCCGGAGTAGGGTGGCTGCTGTATAGAGCTTCAGTACTGTCTCATCCATCACCTGGAGACCTGAGTACCTCCTGGCTTCTATGTCATTAATATTATATAGAATGGGTCCTTCCTTCCCCTGTCTCCTTTTCATGTCTTATTTTTTAACACCTTGCACACAGTGCTGGCTTAGGCCTTTACAAAGGAACATACAGTAAGTCTATAGGAAAAGCTTAAGGCTAATGATAGTGTTGGCATAACAACTTGTGCCATGAGGTTTGACTTAGTCACAGCAGAATGTCAGTGGTTCCCGACAGAGGACTGATTACCCCTTGTCGTTTCTCATAACAGGAAAAACATGAGCATAAATGTATAGCGCAGGCTTTGCTTCACTGGAAGAAAATCTGCATTAGTATTACACTTGTAAATGGGATCTAAGATCAATTGTGAAACATACTTTATAAGTTGTTAACAGTAGAGTCAATCAAATAACACCTTTTAAAGATGATGTTAATTTCATTCTGTCTAAAGTTAGAGATGGACAAAGATGACACTCATATTCCTCTCTCCTCACAAAATTCCAAGTCCTGCGTATGAATTCAAGTGTTTCTAAAAAGAAGTCAATATAATATGTATTTTCCATGAATCTCTCAGCTGCAGCAGCAGCATGTCACCTACTGTTGCCCTGTGGTCTGACAAAGTCCACTGACTCTCTAAACATCTGTCCTTCTGTCAATACAGTTCAAAACCTTGCATTTGGTATATGACCTGAATATAATTTCTTAGAAAAAACAGAAATGTGGTTAGCAGCTTATTGGTGACTTCTAGAATTACCAATAACATCTAATTGATAAACAAAATTAAGCCTCTCATTCAAGCCTCGGAGTAAAGCATGAAGAAATGTCTGCAATGTACAAATACTATGTGGCAAGAGTAAAGGTAGAATCAAGGGTAGAATCATTTCATATGTTCAAATGTAAAACAAATTAGGAAAAAAACCCTAGATCCATTAAATTGAAGTGTAATAACTGTTCTCTCTATTTCTACTCTCGCCTCTCTAAAGTCAATTCTCCTTGGCCCAGTGTAAGTAATCTTTGAAAAGCATATGCCAGACTGTGTCAGTCTCCTGTTCCCAGGCATCTTAGCTTGTATCAAGGTTTTTACCATGGCCTCAAGGTCCAGCATGTGCTAGCCATGGCTATCCCTTCAACAGCATTTCCTACCAGTCTCCCCATAACTCGTTCATGTTCAGAAGCAATGATGTCTGCCAAAGGAACTGGCAAAGTGCACATTGGTTCTTGTGCTTAGTCTTGCATTCCAAAGGTTCTTCAGGCTTCCCATAATGAAGTGACAAATGCTAACACTGGCACAATGGACCAATATGATGACTGCCAAGAGACAGAATCCAGTTGATGGAAATGAATCATAAATATGCCTAACTCTCTGAAGAAGTGTTTTTTGCAGACATCCCAGCAATTAGGGCAGGAGTTACTCTGCTGATGATATTCCACCAAATAACACCCACTAAAGACTTACCTGCAGCGACTATGACAATATCTGCCAGCTGAGTATGGATCTTCATTTGTTCTTTGGGGGTGTATCTGTGAGCTATTGTCACAGTGGCATCACCTGGAATGCAGAAGAACTTCTGTTAGTGATTGTTTAGCTTTTTCATAATTTATTAATACTCCAATTCTAGAGGAGTTGTTCCTAAGCATAGGAAAATTGCTTTAAAATTATTAAATCACTTTGAAAACAAAAGCTGGATAAGAACATGTAGATGGCCCATAGTATTGTACCCTTTAATTACCAGTGGAAAATCAAATGAGACCAAACAAGGGTATGTCCTGATTATTACTGGAGAGCTATAAACATTGGGTTGGCCAAAAAGTTTATTTGTTTTTTCCATAAGATGGCTCTCACAGCACTTCACTCAAAACAATTTTGTTTGGTTGTATTGTGACAGCTGTCAGATCAGCATAAATTTTTTAAAAAACCTTATGAAAATTGATGAATTTTTATATAGCCATTTTAATATTGAAAATATACAACATCTTCAGCATATTATGCTTTACTATTTCAAGAAAAGTAAAAACACAACTGAAATGCAAAAAAAAAAACACCCCAGGATTTTTGCAGTCTATGGAGAAGGCGCTTCAAGTGATCAAACGTGTCAAAAGTGGTTTATGAAGTTTCCATGCTGGAAATTTCCTGCCGGATGATGCTCCACAGTTGTGTAGACCAATTGAAGTTAACAGCAATCAAATTGAGACATTAATTAAGAACAATCAATGTTATGCCACATGGGACATAGCCAACATACTCACAATATCCAAATCAATAAAGTTATTGGTGAAAATGAAAAATGTGTTTTTTATTTTACAGAAAAAAACTAAATGGACTTTTTGGCCAAACCAATAGAATCCTAAAGCTTAGCATTTGAGAGTTCTGTATTGACAAGTTAATACATAGATGTAGGAGTCACTCATTGGCTTGATAAGATATGTAAATACTGAAAACAGTCAGATAAGTGCACTAAAAATGAGGCAACGTATTGTGGCAGGACAGGTTATAGATTAATTCTGCCTCATCTTGGCAGGTGCCTCATCTTGAGGTATCAAAAAGGGTTCCAAAAGGAGGCAACATCCTCTTTTATATCTTAAAGCAGGAGTAAAAGTCCACCAATCAAGGACCAACTTTGAAATTATGTGTTTAGGAAATGACAAAGAATCCTATGCTTTAACAAAAAATATTTATACATACTTTAATAAAGTGATGTATGAATAAGAAAGGTTATCAGACTGAGGGAATCCAGTGATTGAAGTGAGAGCCAAGGAAGAGAAGTGAAAGAAAGGCAGTAATAAGTGTAGTCAAATGAAGGACTTCCAGTATGAACATAGCTGTGTGAGACAGTATTTTCTATCTTCCCTTCCTGGATAACATACATCAACAGAAACTGCACCATCTCTGTTTGTAGCAAAACTAGAGGACATATTTACCACAGACTCTAAAAACATGTAAGATTTACCCAAGAGCAGCAGAGTTAGTACATACCATACAGAGAGAAAGGCAGCAAAGAAATGCAGAAAACAACAAGATGGCTAGCAGCAACAGAGCTCTGAAAATGACTGCAAAAATATACTCCCTGAAGGTGAAGGGCTCACATCAAAATGCAACATTTGTAACATAAAATAGGAAGCAGCTCTGAGGTAGCCCTTACATAGGAGAGCCATTTCAACAAGAAGGGAGTCGTTTGACTGTGAAGTTTTTGAAGGAGGAATCCAAAAGCTTCCCAGTATCTCCTCCACAACCCTAACAGAAGAATCCTGCAAATAGCAGATCCAAGAAATCCAACTCATTCAATAGTAACTAATTTTAAAAAAGCATTTGACAATGCATCGAAAGTATACTATATAAAGATCAGCTCAGGGGAATTTGGGTGTTGATAGAAATATTCAGATTCTATTGTAGTTACATGACTACAATAGAATAGGATTTGTTTAAATTCATGGATGTATACCAAAAAGAGGGAATTTATATGCAATTCTCTTAAGTTAAAAAAATACATTTAAAAAGTGGCAGACTCAAGAAAAAAGCAAAAAGCGAAAAAAAAAATGTAAGGAATCTACCAACATACCAATAAGCTCAACAGCACAATATTGTTGTGAAAAAGTTGAACATTATGATTAAACATTATGCCAAAAAAATTTAAAATAAGTTAAAGTCACAAAAACTGGGGAAAAGGACTTGAATTCATACAAGTTGATTTACAATGGCCAACACTGACATACATTCAGTAAAACAGATGGATTTTAAAGATTAAAAAAAGAATCCTCTGAGCCAGCAAGTAAAAATCCAAAATTTTACATTTAACTGCGGAAAACAGCAGGGCATTGCCTACAAGAGACACATGTAAAGAAATTAGAAGCCAAAGATTTTATATTCACTCAGGTTGTCCTTCAAGATTAGAGGAGTCAAACAATTTTGGAATTGTAAGAACTCTGGGAATATTGTTCATATGAGCTTTTCCTGCGGAACATGCTAAAAGAAAAAACAATATTGAGATGACTTTCAATCAGTATCGAAACATGTTTGGGGTTATTTCACTCCCCTTAGCTTGTTATTACTCCTCAGTAAGTCTGGCCAGAGAAAACCATGGGAAATATCAAAGCCATATTTATACTTGACTGATCAGTTTCTGACTTGGTGATATCAAACCATGAAAAGGTTTTCAGTCAGTCAGATGATGATAGCAAAGAAGTGAACCAAGAGGTTTAAACGCAACTGTTTTCTGATAATGTCTTTGCCCCTTAACACCTGTTCCTGGTCCTGAGTGCTGTCGTGTGTTAAAATAAAAAACAAATAGAGACTAACCTTGAAGATTCCCTGAGCAGACAAAACCAGTTTAGTCATACCAGCAAAGCTTAATTTACCTTATTTGACAAGGCTAATCTGACCTGGGTCATTTCTTCCTTATGCCTCTGAACATCATAAGCAAAACTTGAATTGCTTTCCATGGTTGATATGAGGTAAACATGGACCAATTCCCTACCATTTAAGAAAATTCTAATATAACCAATCACTGTGAAGAACAAACAGTCCCTGCTTTCTCACTAATATAAACTGCTTTACAACAATTTGCCCCTGAGCCTCATTCCATGTTTCGGTTTAAGGGCTCCCAGCTTGAAACTATCTTCTGGGTGTGTTTACTATAAACTTTTACTGATCACTACTTTTACTGATTACTACTGGTAAACTTTTACTGATGACTATTTCAGTGATTGATTGGCTTCACTTCTGTTATGTCTGAACTTTTGACACTTGCTAACTACATTCTTATTTACCCTGTCTTACTTGACATTGTGAACGCTCCTGTCACTCCTATTTTCAGTGCTGGTGTCCCACTGCTTTGCTTCAACGAGTCCTCGGGCTTGCTGCACCTAATTCTCTGTCTCCTCAGGTTTTCCCCGGGATGGTCAGTACTAACAAGCTGCAATAGCTACTCCATAGAATGGTGTGTACCTCTGACCCTCAGGTGACTTTTTCCCACACTCGGTTTTATATTCTTATTGTTCACATGACAATAGCCCCTGCAAGGACCTAACTTTTCAACTATACATAGACACAGTAAAAAAAGGGTAAGCAGTCATAAACAACTTCATCGTGCCCAGTACTTTACATCATCAGTGTTAAGATACAGCAAGAATAAAAGACTGAGAACCTATCTCCCAGAATCTCAGAGTTCTGTTAGAACATAATAATTAATTGCTGGGCAAGATATGCTGCTTTCTATACAAAAGTTCGGGTGATCAAGAACTGTCTGCCGGAAGCCACCTGAGCGGTTTTCTGTGCTATCATGACCTCTGTAACTTATGCAAAGTTGCAGGTTGTAGCAAAGAGTTCTTGGCAAATAACAGAGTACCAATGTGAGGAAAATATTTGCTATTTAAAAAAGCTAGAACAAATGATACAATATGCTTCATTTTAGTGTATCTTTTTTTGTCAATATTGCCTAAATGAGTTTACTTCTGTTCAATGTTTCTAGGCCATTCCCTACCTTCATTTACTCAATAATCAAGAAATATTCCCAGAACCATGCTAAGCAATGGAGCTTCACAATTCTCTACTCACATGTGAAAAGCAGATATGTAAATAAGAATTATAATACAGTGTGATAAGTTTTACGCTAAAAGAAGGTATATGGACCACCATCATGTACTCTAGCTGAGTAGGGTCAGTTAAAGCTCTTAGAGAAGACAGATTTTGATGTAAGAATTTGTTTTGCTTCCATTTCAACCTTCTATGCCTTTCCCATTCTCTCCCACTGATAAATTATTTCCCATGAAACATGAGAAAGGCATATACTTTAGCCCAGACTGCTAGGAACTTCTTCCTTATAAAAGCTGACGTCTACCATTTTGCAACTTTTACCATGATTACAGATCTATCTTCAACAGAAACACAGAACAAGTCTCAACTCCTTTTCCATAAGGCGAATTTTCAAATACCTCCTTGTTCCTGTATCAGCTGATAAAGCTGAATGGCAAAACCAAAGGAGCTGGAATTTCATGTGCAGGGTTTGCCTTTGCCACTTCCTCTTGATAAGGAAGAACTGAGTCATTCTCGCCACAGTAACTATTGCCATGGTCTGGTTTAAAAGAAACACTCACTGAGGAAATCCCAGGAAGGAAAACTCAGTACTCTTCAGCAGAAACAACACTCGATGCATCTTAAAATAATGCTGCAATCTCTTGATTCTGAATTCCATTTACTGTATGTTTTATATTCCAGCTTCAGTTGCTTTTTCTGGATTAAATTGTCTAAATTATTTTAGATATTGTTACAGAGCACTCGGATGTAAGTCTTCTGTTCATGCTTTGAATGGGCCAGGCTTTAATGCCTTTGTAGCTGGTCAAGACCTGGCTGGCTTGATTTGTGGTGTATCAGTCCTTCAGTTTTCTTCCAAACATGTTGTGCGAATGGCTTCACTTTTAACTAGTCATATACTGTTTTAAGCTCATTCCTTTTCAACATTTACTTTAGAGTTCCTTTGAGAGAGAGTACTAGGAAGGACTGCCTGACTCCTGAGCACCAGTGTCTGTAGATATTTTTAAAATATGTCCCAAGAT